TCATATTCTATTAATCCTTCAAATACATTATTTACAGTGATTAATTATCAAAGGTGAATGGAAAAGGGGAATAACTTTGCTCAGCAGAATACAAGTTAATTGAGCCCTAGCCAGGACCAGAACACTTGACTAAATGGTCCAGGTGTTCAAAATTCTGGTAAAAATACCCTTGCATATTAAAACTTTTACTCTGTTTGCCTCAAATATGCCCAGAAGCACAGAAGATTTTCAAAGAAATGCATTTTCACTATATCATTAAATAAATAAAGTCCCATCCTTACACCAAAACATCTGATCCAAGGGCCACAAACTCACAATTTTGGAAGAAGCACCCTTGTTTATCATAACTATACACTTCTTTCTTTGTTTTATAACCAGTAGTAGAAAAAATATATTTTGAAAGAAATTATGCATTTTCACTATATAATCAATAGAGCCATCCCCCACCCCCCTAACCCTGACCCAGGGGCCATGAATTTCACAATTTTGGAAGAGGCATTCTTCCTTATCATAAACATGCACTTCCTTTGTGTGAATAATACTCAGGAGCAGAGAAGAAGATTTTGAAAGAATTTATGCATTTTCCCTATATAATCAATAGAGTCCCGCCCTAACACCAGAACCCTTGACCCAGGGGCAATGAAATTCACAATTTTGGAAGAGGCACTCTTACTCATCATAACTATGTACTTAGTTACTTTATTTAATACCCAGGAGCAGAGAAGAAGGTTTTCAAAGAATGCATTTTCACTACATAATAAATAGAGCCCAGTCCTAACACCAGAACCCCTGACCCAGGGGCCATGAAATTCACAATTTTGGTAGAGGCACTCTTGCTCATCATAACTATGTACTTAGTTACTTTATTAAATACCCTGGAGCAGAGAAGAAGATTTTCTAAGAATGAATGCATTTTCACTATATATTAATCTATAGAGCCCCAACCTAAGTAACACCAGAACCCCTGACTCTGGGGCCATAAAATTCATGTTTTTGGAAGAGACACTCTTGCTCATCATAACTATGTACTTAGTTACTTTATTTAATACCCAGGAGCAGAGAAGAAAATTTTCAAAGAATTAATGCATTTTCACTATATAATCAATAGAGCCCCGTCCTAACACCAGAACCCCTGACCCTGGGGCCATGAAATTCACAATTTTAGAAGAGGCACTCTTGCTTTTTATAACTATGTACTTAGTATATTCAATACCCAGGAGCAGAGAAGAAGATTTCCAAAGAAATAATGCACTTTCACTATATGATCTATATAGCCCCACCCTAGCACCAGAACCCCTAACCCTGGGGCCATGAATTTCAAAATTTTGGTAGAGGGCTCAATGTTTATTACAATCATGCCAACAGTTTGATTGCTTGATGTCCAGGAGTAAAGAAGAAGATTTATAAAGATTGCAGCAATTTTGGTGGTTTTAGCCCCACCCCTCAGGCCCCAGGGGGGCAGGGACCATGAAATTCACAATTTTTGTTCCCCTTCATCCATAGATGCTATATGCCAAAGGATTTGGTTGAAATTGGTTAAGCCGTTTCAGAGAAGAAGCTAAAAATGTTCAAATGTTAACGCACGACGACGGACGAAAACAGATAGCAATAGGTCACCTGAGTGACTCAGGTGACCTAAAAATTTCTATTTCTAGCAGCCAAAGGATAAATTTTGCTGGTAAATAATATACATCTACTATAGAAAACAAAGCTACTTTATACTTGTGCCCCCTCAATAATATTGTCTTACGACTTTTTTTTTGCCCTTCCAGGAATTTTTCGTAGGTAGTAACACCCCCCTCCCCTGAAAAAAAAAAATTATTGTGCCCCCCCCCCCCCCCCCCCCCGATACAGACGGATGGACAATAGACATCTAACCATCACATAAACTCTTCTTGTCTTTGACAAGCAGAGCTTAAAAACAACAAAAGTTGTAACCAATAACACGTTTCCATCACCCTGTCCACAGAAAATGTATATGCTTTACTTAAAACTTACCGTGAAATGATGAAGAATTACTATCTTTTGCCTAAAAATAGAATTAACTTGTACAATTAAATACAGAAAAAATTGAATTCAGGCTCCAGGATGTTATCAAAATTTGCTTCCCTTTCATGTTGCTTAATTCATACGGTAATTAATATTCATTTAATGAATCCTGAGGCTTGAATATGTTGTTCATTGGTAGATTACATTTGTCTTCTACTTCAATTAACAGAATGATTCATCATTATAATTAAAGTTCTTTATTTTTTGGATATAAACAGAAATCCAGATCAAAATAAAGAACGAGTGGACTTAAATGTCTTATTTTGGGTCTTTTTGTGATTCCTATACCAAGCTGTAAAATCAGTGAATCCAAAATATTTAACTAGCATTATCTTTACATGTTTATATTTGGTAGAATATTTGTACAAAAACAATGCTTTGGTGTCATGAATCAAAATTAAAGTAATGATACATTAGTGTCCCCATCCAGAATTTGACATTACCCAAAGTGGTTTTTAGATCACCTAATCAATATTTTAATAGAAGGAAGGGCTACTGATTTGCATCATCTTAGCATTTCTCTCTTTCTCTTTCTTTCTTTCTCTCTCCCTCTCTCTCTCAATTCAAATATGTACATGGTATCAGTTTACAACAATTACAGCAGTGTCAACATTTCTCTAGTAAATATTGCGAGGACACACAAAATTATAATAAAAGTGATTACAAGAAATTTAATTTCCTCAATTCTGCAAATGACAGACCAACCAAACACGTTCTCAATCTGACTTAGACTGAGGTCACATTTTAGAAAGTATTCATAAGTACACTCACAGCTGGACACCAAATGATTCAACAGGTCAATCGGGGTTAAATCAAGGTTAACACAGTCAAAACAATGGAAGCGACAAGTTTGTTTTAAACACTTTTCTTGTAAAACAATTATTGGCTCATATCCTTTTAATATGACATTATTTTGTTCAATATACAACTAAAATTTTCTTAAGAACAGTCAACAAACATGCATTATGTATTAAGATGTTGAAAAAAAGTGTGACCCTAATTATCAATTGATATACATAAATACTCAGGTTTCCTGCTTTAGATTTTTATTTGGTCTTCCTTGAAAAGGAATTTTTAAATTTACATATCCATTTAGATACACAATTAAGATATCAGTAATTTATATATTAAAGGAAAAATTATCATATTATTAAACCTCAATTTAAGTTAATTGTTTTTTTTTCAGGAATCTTAAGTCCACCCATTCTTTCTGTACATTTTCATGAATTGATACAAAATTAAGGAAATGGTATGAAATTGAATATAAATCATCAATGACTAATTTATGTGCATGTGTATATGAAAGAATATAATGAATTAGGTTTAAATTCTTTAAATTTTAATGCTGTCATCATTATTACTACTTCAATGTTTGTTTATTTTATATTAAAACATATTGTATTTTTCTTTATATTTATCCTCACTACAAACCTGAGAAGCTTCTGCTGTTTCCTTCTGTCCTCCATTGTCCTCTTTCTTGTCATCTGCAGAATCTGAAAAAAAAAATAAATCATGAAACACACCTTCAGACGTAACGGAAGCAAAATTGTGTCAGACTAGTAACTATGCTTAAGGTATTCGATGTATAATAGAGGGATATTTGCTATTTTCAGTGTACAATCAAGTTAAATAATGCTTATAAAATGAGTTTAAAAGATGTTAAGATTCAGTGTTTATTTTATTATAAGGGTTATCTCCCCTTGAAAAATGTGTTAAAAAATATATGAATTTCTCTAAAATTTGCATGGTGGCCTATGCATTTTAAATTCATCAAATTTTATAAAACATTTTTATCGATTTCTTTACCCTATGCTTTTTCCCAAATATAAAATTCTTATTATTTTATTTATGAAAATGATCCTTTTCCCATTGGCTTCTACAGTGAATATTAAATAAACTAGAAATCTGACCAGTCAGCAAGGGCCCCGCCGAGGGGTAGAAATATAAGGGTGCAGATTTGGGGATGAGAATTTTACTTGATTACAAAAATTTAAAAATATATAAAGAAAATTAAGCAACAGCAACTGCTAAGTATCCAACAACCTGTAAATAGTATCCTGGTATTTACATAAGGCAGTAAAAAACATCATATCTATAATAACTCAATTAAATTTATATTTAGAGAAGAATGCCAGCATTCAGTGAATGCAAATATCACCCAGGCTTGACCTTAACTTCAAAACAAACATCAGTTGCAGACAAAGGTGTTAATTAATCTTAAAGTGACAGAAAGATAACCCTCTAAAATTTTCTGCAACCAGCAAAATAATCAATCCCAGTGGATTAATTATACTGCTCTCTCAACCTTTTCTTCTAAGTTTACAATAAGAAATTTTTCAGCAATGATAGAATGGGGTTATTATCTGAATACCTGTTAAAATAAATAGTATTCTTGAATTTACATAAGACAGAAAAAAGAAAAAAAAAAAATAATAATAAAAAAGATATCTTTATCTATATCTTGTTTTTAGAATTCAATAAAATCATAATTCATTGTGTATTTTACCAAAATAAAGTATGAACATTATTTAAATCCACATTTCAGAGAATGTAAACATCATTCAGAATTGACCTTAACTTAAACAAACTTCATTTGAAGACAGAGGTGTTAATTAATCTCAATGTGACAGATAAAGATAAAATGCTTTGAATTTCTTCAAGGGGAAAGTTAACTAGAACTGTCCAAAAGGGACAAATACCCCCCGCTGGGTTTTTCAAAGAAGGTACCAAATCACTAATGTTTTCTAGATGTGAGAGGTGTTCACAATTTGCTTAAACATTTAGAGTGAAAATTTAATTACTCATTATATTTTTTTAATGAATGAAACTAAGGTGCAGCCTAATAAAACATCAATGCTAGTAATTACGGTATTTTTTAATTACATTGAAAAGATAGTTTGCAAGTATCTGTCACCTGTGTGAGACATGACACTCTGCAAATTGATTGTTGAAAAAAAAAATCATAATTAATTATACAAAATCAAATTGATCTTAATACCTTTATGTCAAACTCATTTTAAAAATAAAAGGCTGGTTCCAGTAACTATGTATTTTGACATACATAAATTACAATTAAGAGACTTAGACAACAGAGATCTTAATTTCTTTCTGCCCAATTCCAAGGAGATATAGATAAGACTTGCTTGATCAGAGATGCCCTAACAGCTTCTCACACTGAACTCATTAATTAATCTTTAAGTGGATGCATGTTCACTCATTACTCCAAAGGGACAAATGGATTTACACTATCTGTTGTGTAATGTAAAAACTGTTTTTAACACTTTGTGATTTTTTTTTTTAGTTCTAATGAGTAGTTTTAAGCTGTAGTTCACATTTTTGTACAGATGTTCTAGATTCTATGTCTCAAACCTTAGACATGAACCCGAAATGACTAAGTCAATAAAAATGAAAAAAAAACCACCTGTAAAATGCAGAAAAATTATCAAATAATGTTGAAAATACCAGGTGGACATCTTTATATGGTAAATAATAAGTGTACAAATTTTCATACAAATCTATGCAATAGTCTCTCGGAACAGATCCGGACAAAACCACATAATAAAAATGAAAAAAACACCTGTAAAATGCAAAAAAATTATCCAATCATGATGAAAATACCAGGTGCACACCTTCATATGGCGAAGAATAAGTGTACAAATTTTCAGACAAATCCTTGCAACAGTTTCCAAGAAATGGTCTGGACAAAATCTCGTCTACAGACAGACGGACAGACATTTCATAGTTTACAATAGGAACATTCTCAGCAGTTATCTCTCTTTGCCCATTCACTCTTATATAAAGATCTACCATCATCTACCCCACCACCCCAGCTCCAAATCAGATGACATAGAGAACCAAACTTAGCATCAAAATATGTCTTACTGCCTATTCAACGAACACACCAAATTTGAATTTAATTGGTCAACCCTAAAAAAAGTTATTAGAAAAAAAAACCCAGAAAATTTGTGGACGGAAGAATGACAGATGGACAGACAGACACAGTGATAACTACAGGGCACCCGCAAATCCTTGCGGGGCCCTAATTATGTCATATATATCTATTTTGAGATGATTTTCAAAAAAAATCTCTTAGTAAAGCTTTTTCTTTTGCTTTGATCCATGGAATACAAATTTTCCTTGATTTGAGTCATTGTTAATGAGATAATTTTCTGCTATTTATGCATCAGATACCTTAAGTTAAAGCAAATTAAGTTTGTAAAAAAAAAAAAAAAAGTGACCTGAAGTTAGATTATGCTGTCCAAAGTTAATTCTATGTTTAACGTCATCAGGTTTTGGAGAAATTTGCACTTTGAAAAAACAAATAGTTTGTTTTTTTTAGATTTGTATTCAGGTTTGCTTTTACTTTTAGCAACTAAAAACTGCATTCCATAAGAATAGGCAATATCTGGGCCCTGTATGAGGTATACATAGTATTTGAGAGGCCTGCCCCCTAACCCCTTTTTCCACATATTATCTTTTACTGTTGAATATAGTCCATTCGTTCCACAGTAATGCATTATAAAATCATTTTGTGGAAAAAGTTTTGCACTGTAAATTTATAGCCCATTTATATAGCACAAATGTATAACAACAGGCTATTATATCCCATTTGGGCAATCAGTCCCAACCTGTTCGCAGTGTTTCATGAAACCAAATAATGGTTGACTTTGTGTTCACTGTTCAACTGTTGTTAATATCAATGGGTTTTATTGGTACCATTATTTGACAATGGTTCTATTGGATGCCTTAGAACTGAGAACAGATTTTTGTTAGCCATTGGTTGGGAAATTAACAATAGTACTGGTAACCAGTGCATACCAATGATAACCATTGGACACTATGGTAATCAATGGATGTCAATGGTTACCAGTGGATGCTAATGGTAACCTGTGCATCTGGTTGGTTGAGCTCATGCTCAATTACACATCATAAATTTTTTTCCTCTTTTTAATCAAATGTCAGTCCTTAGTTATGGCAAGAGCCAATATGTACCATGAATTCATCAATTTATTGAAATGACCATCTCTGAGTATTATAAGGATGACATATATTTTACATCTTTTCCCCTGACAAGACATTGAAATTTTTTTTTCTCCTTTCAATGTCAACTGCACTTGATATATCACTGATGTTTGTGTGCACTGTGTTTGCCATCATTTTGAAGGTATTACTAAAGAAGGAAAATCCCACGCTTCCAATTATGCTACCACGGATGTGGTCAGCCTGCAAAAAAGTTGGCACCATTGGTATACAAAATGGTAATTAAATATGCCAACAGTAACCATTGGCAGAGCTGTGACCACACCCAATATAATAATAAACAGATTTCAGTTGACTTTTATCTGATAGGTATAGATAGTTTTCAACTGACCTGAATTTAGTAGGCAAGAGTTATTTCCCGTTGGCCGCCATTTTGGAGGTTCAACTCTTTGAGCAACCAATTTTAAACTTGTAGGACAGTAATATAAGAGCTAAAATCTTCTTAAATATTAAAATTACGAATTAAAGGAAGCAGAGTAAACATTAATTAGTAAGAAAAATTGTGTCATCTTTATCCAATTGCCCAGTACGACAAGTTTAAATTGGTTGAATAATGAAGAAATTCGGGCTTGTATACCTCCAATATGGCGACCAACTGGAAATAACTCTTGCTAAATTCAGGCCAGTTGAAAACTATCTATAATATGGTGCATATTGTCATTTTTGCAACAAGAGTCAGACATTTTATGATTTGAAACATCAATTTATGTTAATTTATACATGTTTATTGAATTATTCCAGAGCTCAACATTGTCCATGTCCAGTTCATTCTGTGATTGGACAAGTCATCTCCAGACACACTAGTCTGATCAGACAACTTACATTTTTTTTTACCATTATGGATATTGTGAAAAAAAATTCCCCCCGTCTTTATCAAAAACTGACTTTTTTAAATTTCAAACATAAAATACAAAATGTTGTAATCTGAAGGACTCAGTCCAACAATTGTTAACAGATGAGAGCGCTCGAGACACATAATTAAGACAGGGACCTATATACTAGTATATAGGTCCCTGATTAAGATTACAATTAAGTGCTATAATAACTGTATTTTATAACAATAATGTTTATTATCATGATAAAAGAAATTGTTATAAGTCAATATTCATCATAACTTTACACCCATTTTTGAAAATAATTATTTACAATTTTTTTTATATCTGTTCACATTTGGACAAGTAAACAATAAATGCCGACAATTAAGTAATATTTCTTGAAACTTGTCGAGTGTATGTTTTACTTTATTCTCTATTGAGAAGTTGATGGCTCGTTTTATACTGAGGGGGAGTATAAAACGAGCCATCAACTTCTCAATAGAGAATTATATAAGTTTTAGTTATGTTGAGCTCTGTGTCCAAATTTGCACACAGCTCCTATTTGACATACCCAAAATTGTTTATTCGAAATGAGACGCAGCACAAAATTGTGATAATCAGAGTGTATAGCTAAAAATATTGGATGCAAAACAGACATTTCTTATTTAAATAATAAAGTAAAATTCACAATTTCCAATTTGTTTATTTTGAATGAAGTAGGTCCTTGTGTATGAAAGTTTATTTAGTTAATGCCCAAGTCATGGTCAACGGTAAAATGAATTTAATGTTGATGAATATGCCCCTTTTTTAGTAGGTCCTCCGTAGATCTTAAGTCATACAACCCTATCTTTTATTTTATCTGTTATATCCATTTATCAAAACTATGCCCTAGTACCGGTTTTAATGACAAGAAGTTATTGGCAAACTTAGAATACATTGCCTGACAAAGCGTATAAACATTTTATTTGGGAAAATATCAATTATACAATTAGACTCTTTTGCAGATAAAGACAGTTATTAATTCTTAAAAGAGTCCTGTAAAGTTACATTATTGCGCTCACCCGTATAAACATCCGCCATGTTGATTTTTTTCTTCAGCTCTAAACCTTTTACTTCCGGTTGTATGTGGCGCCAAAATATGAATATGTGATCGTGTGTGTTCCTGCGATGTTTAACGCATCACTTATAAGTTATTTTTAATGCCCCGTAATTGAAGATTTGGGGGTACATAGATTTTGCTCTGTCCGTCCGTCTGTCTAGCTGTTTGTCCGCAGAAATTTTAACTTTGGCCATAACTTTTGATTAGTAAGAGGGCCTTCATATTTCACATTTATGTATTATTGTGACAAGACCTTTCTTTGGCAGCGGCGGATTTAAGGGGGGAGCACCCGGCGCCCCCCCCAAAAAAAACTGTCAAAGTTAGCATAAATCATTATAGTTTCGTTGAGAAAACGTAAAAATGTCTACTTGGTAGACCTCATTTTTACCCTACAAAATCTCTAGAATCCAGGAGCCTCGCCCTCTGGGCCGCAAACAGGGCTTTGCCCTGGACTCACTTAGGCCCCCTGCCTACTTTTTGCGCCCCCTCCCCAAACTTCAATTCTTGGATCCAAGCCTGTTTGGTACCAACATATTTGACCTCTTGACCTTAGAGTTTGATCCACTTTTGCAAAAGTTTTACCAAACTCTAACCTTGGCCAATATGCCCAAAACTTTCTGTGCATGCATTCCTTTTGACAAGAATATCCCTTGGGTACCAACAATTTTGACCTTGACCATGAAGTTTGTCAATCCTGTTACAACATCAATACCAGAGTTGGGAGAATTTTGTATGTACCTTTTCAATGTGAGACTACTTTTGAAAAACTATACAGGCCCCTAGCAATGGTTTTAAAAAGGGGGGGGGGGGTGGGCTCCCAAAAAAATCTGACAAACAAAAAAAAATGTAAACTGTTCAAACATGAAAATCCTATTCTCAACTCATTAAATGACTGACTCATAGCCATTATAACTTACTTGTTGGCTTGCAAAAATGACAATATGCACCATTCTACCTAATTATTCAGTTTGTTTGTTTATTGTTTAAAGTCCCTCTCGAGAATTTTTCACTCATATGGAGACGCCACCACTTTGACCTATACTATTCAGGGCCATTGAGCAGTGAGGGATCTTTTTCGTACCAGCACCTACTGCGACACGGGACCTCGGTTATACGGTCTCATCCAAAGGACCATCTCCACGTCCCACAGTGGGATTCAAACCCGCGACGTAAGGATCCACTTCTTACTCCGCAACTCTAGAGCAAACGGTCTAACCACTGTGCCACACAGGCAATTGTGGTCTCCCACTTTCGGTGATTTAGTGGTTGTGTGTCCTGTCTTGTCTGTCAATCATACAAAAAAGATGTAAATTTTGAATAGATAAAAGTTACAGCAAAAATTAAAGCTTCTTAAAACTGCACCAAATTTCAAGGTCATGAGGTCAAATACAAATTTGAAAGGTCTTGTCACCAGAAATGTACATGTGAAAAAAAAAAATGAATGCCCTGCCTCTCCTAGAGGAAATGTTACAGCCAAGTTTAAAAGTTTTTGGTAAGCCCTATTTTCTCTCAATACCAATGTAAAAAAAACCTGAAAAAGACTGTAGGTGAAACTTTAAGGTCAAGGTCACAGGGTCAAACACCAAAGTTCATGAGAGGTCTTGAAACAGGTAATGCACATTTCAAATATAAAAACAATATCTCATACAAAAATTATCATTAATATTCAATTTTTTTAAAATAAGGTGAACATTTAAGGTTGAGGATAAGAGGATAAAATCATAGAGCATCTGGAGTCATCTTGTCACAGGTAAAGCAAATGTCAAATATGAATGTCCTATCTTCATCAAAAGTAAGCACTAGATCTAACACTTAATTAAGCCCCTGTCCCAGGGGCTATGAATTTCACAATTTTTGGAAGAGGCACCCTTGCTCATCATAATCAAGCACTTAGTTTATCTGCTATATATACAGGGGAAGAGAAAAAGATTTTTAAAGAATTTATGAATTTTCACTACATGATCAAAAGAACCCCATCCTAATTCCACTGAGCCCCTGACCCTGGGGCCATGAATTTCACAATTTTGGTAGAGGGTTCATTATTTTCTCCCTCCAGTGTTTCCTGAACTCTCCGAGTGACAGCTCTTTCCTGTTTCAAAATAAGACGTTGGAAGTTGAAGGGAGCTACAGTTTGACTGCTTGGTGTCCAAGAGTAAAGAAATTTAAAAGATTTTTGATGATTGCATTAATTTTGATGGTTTTGGCCCCATCAAGCCCCAGGGGAGTAGAAATGAAACTCAAACTTTGTGCCCCCTTTTCTCAGCTCTTTGCCAAAATTGGTTGGAATTGGTTTAGTGGTTTATGAGAAGAATCTGAAATTTGATTTTTTTTTTAAAATCTTCTTAAGAGTATATAGGTAATACATATTGCAAGCATTCCCAATTATTAAAGTTGTGGTATTTCATTTTTTTTCTTCAATTTATGAACCATGGGGTTATGTTGGAGCTAAAATTGGGAAACAAATTTTACATAATATCTGTACATAGGAAAGAAAATTATTTAAAAACTTTCTTCTCCAGAACAGCAAATGTTGTTCATATTGATTGAAGCATTCCAATGTGCTTATTCAAGTTTGGTTAAGTAATGACCCCTTAGGGCACAAGTGAGCTACAGTTTGGGTTAAAATTTTTCATAAGAATAGAGGGGGGGATCTTTAAAAATATTTGGCCAAGGTTAAACTCAGGTGAGCATTGTGAGTCAGATGACCATGACTATGCATACAATCTGCTGACAAACCTCTTTGTCACAGTCACCTGTATGCAAAGTAAGACCTGATATCCTCCAATAAAAAGTTTTGTTTAGAATTTTACATTTCTAAGATACTTGTCTGAAATCTGACCTTGTCTTAATGACTTTTGATCATGATCATGCCATATCTTATAATCATAATCAGCTCTTAGGGCAATATAATCTTTGGATGTTATTTCATTATAAAGTTTATAAAGTATTAACATTTCAAACCCAATGACCTGACTTTGTCCAAATGACCATGATGCAGGGTTTTGAAATACCCTTTGGTCAAAAGCATCCTTTTTGTCTAGTATAATATTTTTATGTTTTTTCTTCACATCAAAGTTATAGCTATGGCAAGGATTTCATATGACCTTGTCCTGGTCCAAATTCTCCCAGTTTGGGTCAAGACTTATCCTTGAGCCACAAGCAACCTTTGTCTCTATTATATAAGCTTCTACTTTTTTTTCGTTTAGAGGTTTTGGCTAGAACAATGTACCCTGATTTTGGGGCAGATATTGGTCATAGCAGAATATATAGTCCTTTCTCTCTTTAATTTCATAAAAATTGAATCCATATTTTGGACCAAATCTAGCCTCAAGAGGGTATGATTTCATCAAAGTTGAATCAACGTAACAATTTGATGCTTCAATATCAATTTGATCAATCAACATGGTCAGCAGCTGTTCTGGGGATGATCTTCTTTCCTGCACACATGCATTATGTAAAAGAGATCTCTGATTTTGGCCCAACCCTAAGCCCAGGGCTCATAATAATACTTTTTAAAAAAAAAGATTCTACATAATTTGGATATGTTTTGCTCTTTAATATGATTTAATGTGGTATTTCTTCTTCATATATCCTCCCTTGTAAAACTATGATCCCCTATTGCAGCATCAACCTATTTCCAAGGGCCCTGAATCTAGTTCTACACTACTTGAGGATGCTCCCATATCAATACGACTAGTCATATGGCTTTGCTGCTGAGATTTTTTTTATAAATATATCTTCCTAGGTAAACCTTTGATCTCCTAATGTGGCCCCATCCTACCTGGGTCATGATTGTAAAAAAATGATTCTACACTATGTTTGTTGTTTAACTTCCTTCTCAAGAATTTTTCACTCATATGGAGAAGCCACCACTTGCCGGTGGAGGGCTGCAAATTTTAGACCTATACTAGGCACTTAGGGCCATTGAGAAGTGATGGAACTTTTTCCTGCCAGCACCTACTGCTACATGGGAACTCGGTTTATATGGTCTTATCCGAAAGACCGGTCTCCACATCCCCCGGGGAATTCGAACTGTGACGTAAGGATCAACTCCTTACTCCATGACTCTAGAGGAAACACTCTAACCAATGTACCATGCAGGTGACTAAATCTACACTATGTAATTAAGCTTTCACCTAAGTTTCATCTTTTTGACCAAGTGATTCTTAGAAGATTTTTGACAGATGCCATTAAGTATTCACTAATTATTAATTATCTCCCCCTTAAAATTGGGCATGGCCCTTCATTTGAACAAATTTGAATCCTCTTCACCTAAGAATGCTCTGTGCCAAGTTTGGTTGAAATTGGCCCCGTGTTTCTGAAGAAGAATATGAAATGGTGAAAAGTTTATCACAACAGACAAATTTTGATCAGAATAAAGGCTCACTTGAGATTTTGGCTCAGGTGAGCTAAGGAAATTATGGAAAGTTTATGACGACAATGACGACAACAGGCAAATTTTGATCAGAAAAGCTCACGTGAGCCTTTGGCTCTGGTGATTTAAAAAAGTTGTTTCTTAATTTTGGTGAATCAACCTGAAAATACCAGCTGCACAAGTTCAAATGGTAAATATTAATTATAAAAAGTTTCAATAACTAGTATTTTTTGAGATCTCTGGACAAAAAAAATGTCGAAGACAGATAAACATAGATTGAGCAATCACTGCACTAACTGTTAGAAATCAACAGAAGGCTATCCCCTCTATGTCTTTTAGGTACACCTGTGAACTATAAATCAATACCTTTCACAGCAGTGCAACAGATTTCAAACCAGAAACTTCCCAGCATGATCAAAGATTGAGCAGTATAACACTCACTGTTTGAGATACTACATAAGACTTCTCCCTCTAAAGATCTTTGAATACACCTGCTTGTTAACATGTGGATTATTTACAACTCTTTTGTGCTTATCAAACCCAACTGAAGGGATTCTCCAACTAGTAGGTTTAGGCAACTGTAGTTTAAGCAAAGCAACTTTAAGACCACCACTATGCCTAACATATATCCACCCTTTTAAAAAGAAAGAATGTTTAAGATAGAAAGATACAAAGGAAGGAAGAAAGACCAAGAAAAGAAAGAAAGAGATATCTAAAAAGGCAATGCCCATATAAATGTACATGCATAGACAGGCCCGTAGGAAGCAAATTCTGTTGGGGGGGGGGGGGGGGGCACAGCCATACATTTTCAGTTGACAGTTGAGGGGGCACTACCAAAAATTTCCTGACAAGCAAAAACAAGAGGCCCAAGGACCACAGCGCTCACCTGAGTAACTTTGGCCTTGCTGTTTTCACCTGATTTCTCCCCCCCCCCTCCGTAGTACTTATTGTGGCCCAGCCCTATCCCCAGGGGACAAAATTTGAACAATTGGAATCTACACTACCCCAGGATGCTTCCAAGTAAGTTTCAGCTTATCTGGCCCAGTGCTTCTTGAGAAGAAGATTTTTAAAGATTTTTCCTTATAATATATTTCAATGTAAAACTTGGATTCCCTATTGTGGCCCCGCCCTACCCCCGGGGGTCATGATTTTAATAATTTAGAATGTACACTACCCCAGGATGCTTCCACATAAGTTTCAGCTTTTCTGGCCCAGTGGTTCTTGAGAAGAAGATTTTAAAGATTTTTCCTATATATTTCAATGTAAAACTTGGATTCCCTATTGTAGCCCCGCCCTACCCCGGGGGTCATGATTTGAACAATTAAGAATCTACACTACCCCAGGATGCTTCCACATAAGTTTCAGCTTTTCTGGCCCAGTGGTTCTTGAGAAGAAGATTTTTAAAGATTTTTCCTATATATTCAATGTAAAACTTGGATTCCCTATTGTGGCCCCGCCCTACTCCCGGGGGTCATGATTTGAACAATTTAGAATGTACACTACCCCAGGATGCTTTCACATAAGTTTCAGCTTTTCAGGCCCAGTGGTTCTTGAGAAGAAGATTTTTAAAGATTTTTCCTATATATTTCAATGTAAAACTTGGATTCCCTATTGTGGCCCCGCCCTACCCCCAGGGGTCATGATTTTAATAATTTAGAATGTACACTACCCCAGGATGCTTCCACATAAGTTTCAGCTTTTCTGGCCCAGTGGTTCTTGAGAAGAAGATTTTTAAAGATTTTTCCTATATATTTCAATAAAAATTGGATTCCCTATTGTGGCCCTGCCCTACCCCTGGGGGTCACGATTTGAATAATTTAGAATGTACACTACCCCAGGATGCTTCCACATAAGTTTCAGCTTTTCTGGCCCAGTGGTTCTTGAGAAGAAGATTTTTAAAGATTTTTCCTATATATTTCAATGTAAAACTTGGATTCCCTATTGTGGCCCCGCCCTACCCCCGGGGGTCATGATTTGAACAATTTAGAATCTACACTACACCAGCATGCTTCCACATAAGTTTCAGCTTTTCAGGCCCAGTGGTTCTTGAGAAGAAGATTTTTAAAGATTTTTCCTATATATTTCAATGTAAAACTTGGATTCCCTATAATGGCCCTGTCCTACCCCCGGGGGTCATGATTTGAACAATTTAGAATCTACACTTCCCCAGCATGCTTCCAAGTAAGTTTCAGCTTTTCTGGCCCAATGGTTCTTGAGAAGAAGATTTTTAAAGATTTTTTACTACATATTTCAATGTAAAACTTAGATTCCCTATTGTGGCCCCGCCCTACTCCCGGGGGTCATGATTTGAACAATTTAGAATCTACACTACCTTAGGATGCTTCCAGATAAGTCTCAGCTTTTCTGGCCCAGTGGTTCTTGAGAAGAAGATTTTTTAATGACCCCATCCAATTTTTGAATTTTCTTGATTATCTCCCCTTTGAAGGGGACTTGGCCCTTCATTTTAACAATTTAAACTCCCCTTCAGCCAAGGTTGCTTTGTACCAAGTTTGGTTAAAATTGGCCCAGTGGTTCTTGAGAAGAAGTCGAAAATGTGAAAAGTTTACAGACGGACGGACGACGGACAACGGGTGATCAGAAAAGCTCACTGGAGCTTTCAGCTCAGGTGAGGTAAAAAGGTCATCAGACATTTTTATTGAGGGGGCACAAGCATATAGTATCTCTGTTTCCTATAGTAATCTATAAATCGGCAACATTATTGGGGGGCACCCCCCCCCCCCCCCCCCGCCGGGTTCCTACGGCCATGATAGAGCATGATATATAATATTGCATTCAGGTTAATAAAATGTACATATCATGCATATGACATCAAAAATGGAACAACTCATTTGTTTACATGTATAACAATTTTATTTCAAAATTCATACTATTATGAATTATTGCCTTCAACCTTAAATCAGTGACCTATATCAATCACTTAAAATATTTAGGCTTCATTTTAACCATTATGAATCATAAAAATAGAACACTTTAGTTTGGTCATTTGATACAGAAAACACAATGAACTTTTCACATGATAATCTATTACTTTGGAGAACAAAGTTGCCATTAAAAAGTTGAGTTTTTTTCCTCTCAGTTATACATCACACCAGCTTCACGGTTGGGAGTTTGGAGCTGACAGAATCAAGTGGAGTCCATCGAGAAAGTTCCAGCACATCAAATATTTCCTGTAAAACAAACAAAAACAAATTCTCAAGGTTTATAAAATAGAGGACTTCCACACTCAATTTACTGTGCAATTAATGAAATCAAAAGTAAATCTCATCAAAGTCTGTTTATTTTTTGTGGCCTAACCCTTGATGAGGGAGGAAAGGCACTGTTTATACAAACCTATGACACATAAATTGACATATTGTTGAGTTTTTGTTCTAGAAAAGATTTTTGTTTAATTACCCTTACATATTTTTCAGTAATGGTCTAAAATGATTTATCATAATATGACACCATTCACAAAACTTCTAAAGATTATTCCTAGAATTTTAAATCCCGATTTGGCCTCCTGAGTCAGGACTTGGAAAAAAAAATTTACACTACATGAGGGTGACTTTATCTTTTTGACCCTTCATTTAAAAATTGGAATAGCTTTCCTCTAATAATATTTTGGTGCATATTGATTAAAATTCATCCTATGGTTTAAGAGATAAACTCAATGTAAAATTTAGACACAAGAGAAGGGTGAACAAACAGGTTTCATTCATAAAAGGTCACCAAACACGACTTTTCTTCAGTTTGCATAAATCAAGTTAACTTTCCTATACTGTAAACCAACTTTAATTCGCGTGCGAGAAATATCTGCGGGTTTCGCGACATACTTTAACTTGCAGATATTGTCACGAACAAATTACTTTGCTTTGTATTTGTAGAGTATGTTTCCTCAGTCGCGAAAATTAATAGTCCTGGATTGATTTCAAAATGAATAAAAGATGATGTGAATAATAGTTGGTTTACAGTACTTAATTCTTCACAAAGTACAATTCATTTTGTATCTAAAAAATACATAAAACAAGTATTTTATCAGAAATTATTGCTTTATTCCACACACCTCACTCTGTTCCATGTAGTCCTTATTGTATCTGAATACATCTACTTCTAACTCTGGTTCTGAAATACACATAAAATTAGACTGTAATCAATAATATTAACATTGAGATTAATTCAATCTTATTATAAATGAAAATTTTGACACATCCAAAACCCCAATCAAATAGACTCTGTATGGAAGTCAAATCCAATTCAGCTGATCATGGAAATAACTTTATAGAAACATGAATACACTACTACTTTTCAAATGTCTAATTACACATGCACTGGGAGACAAACTTTGTGTAGGAATAAACAGGGTGTCAGATTGCACAGTGTAAAGAACATGGTAAAATGGGACTTTAAACAAGAGGCCCAAGTACCTAGAATCGCTCTTCTGAGAAATTGTACAACCTATCTCTCCTGTTTTAAGCCTCTTGGGAACACATATGTAAGGATAAACCCTTGAAATTTCAAAAGTAGGTCAGCATAGCAACAACTATCAAGCCAATCAGTATCTGAAAAAATCAAATTTAGCCATGAAGTTGCAAAAGTAGGTCACAGTGACCTACTTTTCGGTTGACACACTTTGAGGACCCAAAATGCATCAACTGACATAGTTTGATAATTCTAAGCCAATTACTATCTGAAATAGCCATCAAATTTCAAAAGTAGGTCAGGGTGACCTACTTTTTGGTTGCCACACTCCAAGAACCCAAGAAGCTATAACTTTGACTAAAAAATTCTACTCTCATCTCTTACAGAAGTTGCATGTCTATCAACCCTTCAAATCACAGCAAAGTTGCAATAAACACAAATCTTCATCATATCAAGATCAAATTCAAGCACAACTGAATTCTTTCTATTATACAATTTCAAAGTAACATAATATTTAAATCCATCTAACAGCTAAATAAGTCTTATTGTTTCAAGTTCATTCTCACATACATAGCAAATTTACATGTTATATTTTAAGTAGCTCTGGTTGAAATTTATACATGTATACTGTATAGAGTTGTATATGGAATCCTTATGAAATTTAATAAGATAAACAAAGAGCAAAATGAGGTAAAAATAAAGTTCAAGGTCATTGGGAAATGCAAAGTCAGAAAATTGCTCTCATATATTACCAATGTACGAAAACTTTGATGAAAATATCTTGAACAGTTTCTTTTAAACTAAGGTAAATGCAGATAAGTATGACACAGTTGAAAAGCTTACCAATTTGTATTAGTATATGAAGTCTGATGAAAATAAAACATTTTTTTTTTTTTGAAAGTAAACCTAATATGAGGAATTATGAAATCAAGGTCATAATGGAAGTCAAGGTAAAATTTTTAAAAAATATGGCATAGCTAATAGCCTATATGGATAGCTCTCATCAATATGTATCAGTATATGAATTATGATAAAAATGTATCGAACAGTTTCTTTGAAACTGGGCTAAACTTAAAATGAGACATAGTGAGGTCAAGGTCATAGGGAAAGTTAAGGTCAGAAAATTATGAAACAGTTGCATAGCTTTCACTAGTATGTATCAGTATATGAATTTTGATAAAATACCTTTAACAGTTTCTTTGAAACTGGGCTAAAGGTAAAGCATGATGGATAGATGGACAGAGTTAAGGGTGGAAGGATGGACAAGATATACACTATATTCCTCTGCCATATTCCAGGAAGGGTATTAAAATAAAGTCTATTTTTTGTATGTATTCTTAGAAGGATTGAACAAAAGGCAACTAGAAATCTGACCAGTCAGCAAGGGCCCCGCCGAGGGGTAGAAATATAAGACTGCAGCTTACAGAATGAGAATTTTAATTGATTACAAAAATTAAAAAATATATGAAGAAGAATATGCAATAACAACTGTATTTATAAAATTTCAAGATAATTCATGAATATCCAACAACCTGTAAAGAGTATCCCTGTATTTACATTAGGCAGTAAAAACATCATATCTATAATAACTCAATTAAAGGTGCTTGGACACAGATTTGAAGTTAATATTTTCTCAAATTTTCTGTATAATATCATGACTTATATATTTCAATAGCATTTCACACGAAAACATAATTAAAAACTTATTTTATCTGGAAATTATTTGAACTACGAATTCCTGGACGCGTTTGATTAAAACATCCTTGCACTTTCACAAATTTTATCTTTATCCTTAATATTTAAGAAAAGAAGCGATTTTGTTGTGTATTAATGAAAAACATTACATCTATAATCCAGAAAATTCAGAGTAGAAATGTGCGAAAGCAAACCCCCTCACTAATATCGTCAGCCCGTGCTCAGTGTTGAGTACAGAGTTTAACAAATTGAATACACCCGTGAAACGTAAACTGTTTTTGTAAACAGGGCACGAGCTCTGTTATTGTTAATGTTTTCAATTCACCGGGTGTGTTCAATTGTTAAAGTCTGCACACACCACTGAGCACGGACTGACAATACTGTGAGTGGGTTTTGCTTTCGAACATATCTACTCTGAATTTTCTGGATTATAGTTTTAATATTTTTTATTAATACACAACAACATTGCCACTTTTCTTAAGTATTAAGAACAAAATTAAAATTTGTGAAAGTGCAAGGATGTGTCAATCAAACGCATCCAGAAATTTGAAGTTTCAATAACTTCGAGATGAAATAAGATTTTTATTAGATTTTAGTATGAAATGCTATAGCAACATATAAGTCATGAAATTATACAGAAAATTTGAGAAAATATTAACTTCAAATCTGTGTCCAAGCACCTTTAAATGTATATTTAAACAAGAATAAAGCATGTGTTTTATAAAATACCAGCCTTCAGTGAATGCAAATATCACCCAGGCTTGACCTTAACTTCAAAACAAACATCAGTTGCAGACAAAGGTTAATTTATCTTAAAGTGACAAATAAATACAGATAAGCCTGGAAAATTTTCTGCCCCAGACAAGATACATGTAATTAATCCCAGGAGATTAATTGTACTGCTCTCTCATCCTTTTCCTCCAAGTTTACAATAAGAACTTTTTCAGTAATGATAGAATGAGTTTATTATTGGACTACCTGTTAAAATTAATAGTATTCTTGAATTTGCATACAGCTGCAAAAAAAAAAATGAATAAATAAATAAATAGTCAAAATAAATAATTAAATAATTAAAAACAAAAAAAAACAAAAGGCCCAAGGGCCTTGAATCGCTCTTCTGATAAACTGTACAACCTATCACTTCTATTTGAAGCCTCAAAAAATCCTGTATATTTAGATATACCCTTGAAATTCCAATTCACACTCTGAGAACCCAAGATGATTCTAAGCCAATTAGTACCTGAGAGTTGGTCATGGTGACCTACGTTTCACTTGTCATTCTCTGAGGACCCATCAACTAAGTTTGATGATTCTAAGCCAATTAATACCTAAAATTTTTTTTTTAAATTATAACCATAAAAATTTATAAGTAGGTCAAAGTGACCTACTTTTCCATTGTTGTACTCCAAAAACCCTAGACGCATCAACTGACAAAGTTTGGTGCCAGTTAGTACCTGAAATATTTAATTAAAGCACTAAATTTTCAAAAGTAGGTCACGGTGACCTACTTTTCAGTTTTTGTACTCCGAGGACCCAAGATGCATCAACTGACAAAGTTTGATGATTCTAAGCCAATTAGTACCCAAAATATTTAATTAAAGCCATAAATTTTCAAAAGTAGGTCACAGTGACCTACTTTTCAGTCAACCTACTCCGAGGTCACAACATGCATCAACTGACAAATTTTTATGATTCTAAGCCAAATAGTACTCGAAAATATTAAATACAGCCATAAAATTTCAAAAGTAGGTCACCGTGACCTACTTTTCAGTTGTGGTACTCCAAGGACCCAATATGCATCAACTGTACAAGTTTGATGATTCTAAGCCAATAAAGTACCTAATATTTAATTAAAGCCATAAATTTTCAAAAGTAGGTCACGGTGACCTACTTTTCAGTTGTCGTGCTCCGAGGACCCAAGATGCATCAACTGACAAAGTTTGATGATTCTAAGCCAATTAGAACCTGAAATATTTAATTAAAGCCATAAATTTTCAAAAGTAGGTCACAGTGACCTCCTTTTTAGTGGACCTACTCCAAAGACCCAAGATGCATCTGTTAGACATGTGCTTTATTCAGCATCATACACTCAAACTAACTTTACAAGATGAAGAGCTCCCTTAGGGGGAGATAAGTTAAGCAGAAACTAGAGTTACTTCTCTTGTCATGTTATACATAAGTAAACTAACATTAATTATACTTTTCTCTTTTTGGGTAAAGAAAATTAAAATAATAAAAGTAAAGAACGATTAAAATGTTTCTGATTGTAAGATTAACAGTAATATTGTCACTTTTAACCACAAAAGTCTGGCAACATCTGTCCTGTTTGTAGAATCTCCAAAACGCACAAACCATTTGCTCCTGCTTTTGTTAGGCAATTTGCTAGCTGTTTTTGTCCCGAACACCACTGAATTTTTTTTCACTTCTCCTTGAATTACTGCTTCTGTCAATCCGGCAATATCGATTCGAAGTCTCTTATCCTCCACAAGTTTTGTTGAATGCACAGATTCAATCACACTCTTATTGTCTACAAATGCATAAATCACGATGGATTTGCTGGGAACTCCCAAAATTTCCTCCAACATGTGTCGATAATAAAAACTTGCCTCCAGTCCTTCCTGTAGACTAAGTGCCTCTGCTGCTAGGGTGGAGCGGACAACTCTTCTGATCTTTTTAGCCTGCCAGAAAAGGGGGGAGCATTTTCCATGTTTGTCCATAATCCAGATAATAACTCCTTGGGTACTTCCAATTCCATCATTAAGGTTTCCTAAAGATGCATCAGTAAATGTTATTATTTTTAGTGAACTAAGATCTAAAACTGGAAATCTCAGGATACTTTTGAAGTCCTTAAGCCTATTAATGGTTTTTGTTGCTCTGATTAAGTCTGCCATGGTTCCACTTCTCAGCTTAGTGCTCATATCTATCATTTCAAATGCAAGGTCTGGTCTAGACCCCTGCACTGCCCAATTGATCTGCCCTATGATTTGTCTGTATTCAGTCTGTTCTTC